ATTTATGCAGATACCGAAGAGCATAGATTACGCAAATTGTTAAACAATTACAGCTTGGCGAGTATTAACATCTACAATTACTGCGCAATATGCAAAACTTGGCAATAAAATTTCCAATGAAGTTTTCAAATCACTCAAGCCCCAACGTCTTCGATGGCCATTTAGACTTAATAACTTCGTAAGCAGACAGCGTTATGCTTCAAGCTACCCAACCGGGGAAGATGGTCTTCAATTCGTGCAATTTCCAATTTTCAGGCGAACATTGACGACTTGGTCAAATGAGTAGACAGACTTGAAGAGATCAATAAGCGTTGTGTTTCACTAAGCAAGAGACCACGGTCTGCTTCTAACGCCCACTCTAGTTTCCATAGACGGAACAGCGTTGTCACATCTAAACAGCCATCCCCGGTTGGAAGTGGTACTTTGTGCTCGGGGTATTTCTAACAGCTGATTTTTCCACAGATAATAAGATACTTCAAAACAAAAAATATCCCAACAGGTATCAATCCTTTAAATTAAATAACATAACGACGTTCATTTTGAATTTCATAAAAAATTATTGTTTGACGATTTGTTAAAAATATAATAAAATATTTAAACATTTTATTAATTTTATAATAAGATAATTATAAAAATAATTAGGGGTTTCTTTTTGACATCTCATTGCTTTTCTTTCTCAGCTTATATGAATTAAAATTTTGCTCTTATCATAATTATTAATTATCATTATCTCTAAAACAGAGTTTTGTATTAGATTGTGGAAACTCATTTGTTATCCATTTATCACTATTATCTTTTATCAGAAGTATTTACGTTTCGCATTACAACGACGTTAAAAACATCAATTTTTATAATAATATTAAATATTACTTTACCTTTTGTACAATTACGTATCAAAGTTAATTTAATAAAAATTTAATTAAATTAACTTTGATTTTTAATTGTTCACAAGGTAAAGTAATTTCTTTCATACAGGACTTCTAATACATGTTGAGTGTCGCAGAAGAGGGGTCAAACTACTTTCATACCATTCTCAAACAAAAAACGCTGGGCGGTGCCGGGATTCGAACCCAGAACCGCTAGGAAGCAAATACGAGTCAGACGCCCTAATCACTCGGCCACGGTGGTCTTTATGTTTTAATTGTTATTATCCTAAAGGTTGCTTCTTTTTAAAGATTTGGGATTAGATTTGGTTTTATATAAGCTCAAAACTGCACATGTACAGAGTTGAGATTATCACTTCCCTCAATCCACCGGCAATTCTAACTTTTGTCATTAACAATACGATAATATTGTATGATAAATGATTATCGGTAGGCCTCGAGAATCACCCGGGTGCTTTCAACAGCTAACCCCAAACCATCCACTCAAGTGTGAGTCGAACAGGGTCTCTGCTACACGCTGCCGAGCCCAAGCACAATTCTCACATAGAGCCAAGGAGTTACACCCTTCAATCAGGTGGGACACATCTAGCAGCCTTTCCTACGCGCTAATGTTCTTAACTTTTCTGAGTGGGACTATGATAATGAAAATAACAAACTGTTTAAAACAGTCCAGTTTCTTCTAACTGACAATAAAAAGCTTAAAAACGGGAGAAAAAGACTAATGCTAGGCATGGCTAGTTATTTAGTAATCCAATCTTTTGGATTTGGATTTGTATGAGCGAAAATACATACATACACACATTAAACTGGTTGTTGGCAGTCCGCGGTCAAATCTTGGTCTAATCCATCCAGCCACTGAGGTTGGGCTCTAGGTGTGTCAACATTTAGGTCATCAGCACCTAACGCATGCAGTTCCTAAATTCAAACCCATACTCTCACTCGTTCTTAAATACATTCCTTCCTATTTACATACCATTTACTCAATTAGAGTGGAGTAGTTGATATTCCTCCATCAACCTTTACACCTGTTGAGGGTCGATGGGGTTTTCAGTATTCATCAGACCTATCACACTACACATCCACGCTAATAAATAGATAGTCTCTCAACATACGCTAGATACACAAAACTATCAGTATGCTCTCTATGTAGAGCCAAGGAGTTACACCCCTCAATTAGGTGGGACACGTCGAGCAACTTTTCTCTGATCGCGGGGCATATGCGGGCTTTGCCCAAAGGATGAGGACACCAAAGGATCAGTGTGTCAATCTCGCTTGGCCTATCCTCCCTCCTTGGGAGAGGATGAACCTATTTTCTTCTAATGACGTCCTCCTAGATCATCCATATTTCTCCAAACCTTAATGTGGCCTCGGTTAAAATAGAAGTATCCTGTTCAAGTATGCCCGACGCTGTTAAATTAAGTTTAAAAGTTTTACTAAAAACATTGAAAACTAAGCCTTCAAAAGAAAATTACGGGAATCTACAGCACAAGAGCCAAGGCTTTCAAACAGCGTGACAAAATACAACTAAAGGGGGAACTACACTTATTAAAAATGCTTGGAAGTGAAAAATGACTTCGGATGTGTCATGTACTGTTGAACTATGTGCCCAATTTTATTGCCGATCTGAAAAATTTCTTAAACTGCATTTAAATGCAGAGGTGTTTCGATCGGTTTTTGCCCCACGGGTGAAATCCGCTGGTTGCGCCCAACAAACCGCAAGTTAAGCTCTGTTTGCTGTCTTGTAGTTCATTACCGTGGCTGGAGAACTGGATCGGAAAATTTTTTTGATTGACAATTTGGCAAGTGCCCTCGGGACCTTTATGTCATGCATGTTGCACAACTCCTATCCGCCGGTCGCGTTCTTTTTTCCTCTCGCATTTTTCAGACAAAAGCGTGCAGCGTGGATCGGTTTCGGACTGAACTGTCCTTCGTGCAAATTTGCGATGATTCCGTTCGACACAATTACTTTCTGACCCGTGTGGGATGTGTGATGCAACTCGGCATTTTCGATTGTGCACTGAAGTTTCAAGGGTGCTTCAATTATTTAAAAAAATGATCAGTCAAAACATGTTGACAATGTAAATTTTATATTAACCAGGGGGGAAAGGTAGTGACATAACATAAAAAATTAATGTTAGTATAAATCGATAACAAGTTAACAAAATGCAAAATAAGTAGGTCGTCGGACAAGCATTTTAGCTTACAATGTAAATTATTTACTTATATCATTTTCCCCCACGTTTAATGAAAATGCCAAACCCAAGATTTACATAACTGACAAAAAAAATGTTTAATATAGGCCAATTATACTGTATAAATTTATTATAAAATATAATTCATAAAAACTCCAATGCACCAATCAAGTCCTACATAACTTTTGAGGTTTTACCGGAAATAAATCACAGCCTACCAGTCCTAAGTTAAATCCAGGCTCAATGATAAATCGTTCATCCGTTCGTCCTCGCTATTTTCCTCGGCCGTCAGCTCTGTCCTTTTAATCATGGCGAAGACTGCCGGCAATCTAACCCGCGATAAGGCAGCTTTGAAGCTCATTATTATCTAATGGTTTTATATCAATGTCTTAGAAGCTTCCGAGAAGACCCAGTCAATGTAATAAAACATTTTTTCATAATTCGAAATTACACCAAGGCTTAATAAGAACAGTTATATAATTAATAAGGGAAAAAAATCTGTTTAAAAAGAAATGAGATAATTACAAAAAATTATAAAATAAAAACGTGAATTTTCGTACCAAAAATAGAGTTTTAGATAAGGAGCCAATGAACTCATTTATAGATTTCGTTTGCGTAAAATAAATCTTTAGATCCAAAATTGGTGTTCATTATCTTGTTTATAATTTAAATTTTGGTATTGAATTTTTTTTCCTTTGTATGAAACCCCGAGAAAAAGACTTGCTGTCAAAAATCTAAAAATGACATGTAATTAAAATGTTAAGAAAGTATGTAATGTTGCACTCCTCCCAAACACGAATGATGCCTATATAATGACTGATAAGATTAGATATAAATTCTTTCCTTGTAAATTAAAAGGGGCATCGATTGCCTTAAAAATCAATCAATATTCGATTTAAATATCGATGTTTCCATTTTAGGGCTTATTTTTTAAGAAGCTTTGTTGTTTTAAAAGAAACAGTTAGACAAGAAAACAAGTTACACCTTGGTTATTTCTAATGCATAATTTATTCAGTTCTTTATACTTCACGTGATTTTTTTGTAAGTTTTACTGTGTATTTTTAACAAAAGAAAACGTCAAAATTATTAATTATTTATTAATTATGAAAAAAAAATTAATATAATTATATTTCTTGATTACTTACAAATAGGAAAGGTTAGCTTGCTTTTGAGCTTAAAATTAGGAAAAAGTTTGGAATAACCAATAAAAAAATCGTCTTCTTTATTTCTAACTTTTTATAAAAAATATGCCTAATTATTTAAATTTACCTTCAAATTATGAACTTGGAAAGAAATCGACTTGTTGAACTTGAAAACAAAACGAGACTAAAGAGACAGGAAAAAGGTTAAAGGTCAAAACGCACATTCTGCAAACTTGTTGACAGAAAGGCGCGTTGACCACACCAAAAAAACCCACCGAACTGTTTTCAACAGCGTTTCCAAATGTAGCTTTTCCCGGCATTACGCACGAGGAGGTCAAGGACTGACCCAAAGCACAGAAGTTATTTGAACTTGACACGCGACTTATATTTCCCCCATTTTATTATCGACCTTCAACCCTATAAAAAATATTGGGGATTTTTAATAGTTTTAACGAACTGATTATAAATTTTTTTAAATCACAATGCTGCAGTAAAAAAAAATTAAAATTGCCAACTAGGGGATGAAGAAATTGCAAACCGGTCTATAGTGTCTACGTTAGAAGTTAATCGTAAAAATGTAAAATTTGTGGCAATTGCTTTATATTTATATGTTTTGAACTATTAGTTGTTTCGGCTTTTGTTTTGTATCATCATATTCGTACAGTTTAATGAAACTTAATTTTTTTTTTATCAAGCGCTTCCATGATTAAAGTCAGGCTTTAAACGGCAGTTTTTCAAACCTATAAAGAACTTTGAATTTGAAATTAATCAAAATAACTTACGATAGCGTCGTTTTGAAACGTCGGACGGACGAGGAGGGCAAGAAGGCATATCCTCAAGAGTAGGAAAAGCATTGTCGTTTCACTCTTGTTCGAATTGCACATGTTGATATTTGAAATTGTTTAAAGTAAATAAAAAACAGTCTCAAAAAAACTGGCGGGGAAAATTGAATGGGAAATCTCTGATAAATCAGTGACACTCGGGCCCTGTCATTTTACTTTACTTTCGAAATCGGAAGTTAAATCGGCCAAACAGCCTTCGGCGGCGGACGGCTGTCAACTAAGCTGCCGCCGCAGGAGGGAGGTCTTTTATACCGGCTCGCCACCACTCCGACAAAACGCCGGCCGATGATCTCTTTCGACGATTCCAGGATTACAGAGCTGGATTTGCTAATTGGATTAAGACTCGATTATTTTTAAAATAGTAGATTAAACTTAAAGCTTGAGAAAGGAAAAAATGAGACACTGGCTGATACCATTTTGTTACGAATAACTTGATAATAATGTTAACAAGAAAAAAAAGAGATTCCATTTGTTGTTTATATTTTCCTGTAAATTATTAATACAGCTACCTAACAAAACCAAGAGTTTTATAAATTAACTTACACAACAACAGTTTTTTTTCCACGCTAAGTCGTGGTGAGCTCAGACAGGATTGGGCGGAATAAAATAATTTTTTGTTGTTTTGCTTCATACTTTCTTCGACGTAAACGGCATACGTAATTAAAAAACAGAAAAGAAAAAGAAGAACTAAAACTGATTATGAAGTTACTCATGAATCGATAAGATTCTTAATAAATATGAAAAGGTAATAAAAAATTGCCATAATAAATGTATACAAATATATTGTAGATTTTTACATACACATCCATAATATCTTTTCTGACGTTGATGGAGAGAGAGAGAGAGAGAGAGAGAGAGAGAGAGAGAGAGAGAGAGAGAGAGAGAGAGAGAAAGAGACGCAAGTTTAAGAAAGCGTATTCATATTAACAATTCTTTATCTATATATTACAAATACTAGATTATAATTACTTATTCAAAGATTCATCTATCTTTATCTATTAAATGGGTTGGTCGAATGTTTACGCCAAACGTATAATTATTGACATAATGAAAGTTGAACAAGGTATTCAGGGGCGTCGGTGGCCGCAACGGTTTAGGCGTTGACACGGCGCTCATCACTGTAAAGTAAAGGTCCCGGGTTCGAATCCAGCGGCCCTGCATTCGAACCCGATATACTTACAAATGGGCTTTTTCTCAAAACTACCGGCACCCTGAGTGATTATATGACCCCTGCTGTTGCGAACCCTCGTTAAAAAAAAGTTAAAAAAAAAGGTATTCAGTTTCTTTGAAAAATATCGATATTAGTGCATCAAAAATTAGTCCATCTATTAAATTATATATCACCAAAATGATGGGTTACGGAAAAATTCAATGAAAATAGTGCTTGACCTAAATGCATCGGTTCAGTTTAAATAACGATTAAAGTTGTAATTTATTTCATTTTTGAGATAGATGATTCATTTTATTCATTTTATAGATTCATTTTATAGCTAGATAGATAGATAGATAGAGATAGTGGTAGAGAGAGAGAAGAGAGAGGGGGGAGAGAGGGGAGAGAGAGAGAGAGAGAGAGAGAGAGAGAGAGAGAGAGAGAGAGAATGAGCGAGCGTGCGAAATGGACATCTTGTGAAACGTTAGAATGAGAAGGGGTTGCTTACAAAAGGAAAAGAATGTCAGAGTAAAAGGAGAGAGATTTGGAAATAGACACATAAGTTCAAAACAAAAAGATTGTTTTTTAGCGTAGTTCGAACGAAATGCGCTCATAACGAAAACTGCTAGAAATTTGAAACTGTATCGTGATATAATAATGTACATCCTGTATGATGTCTCTGATACTGTATACAAATTATATTATGCGAATGAGTCGTCATAATCATCACCACCTTGAACAGCCTTGTCACTATTATAAAACTGTTTTGTACAATTTTTTTTTTTGGCTTAAATTTAACAAAGAATATGAAGTAAACAAAATTAAAATGAATAAGCTAAGTAGATTTTTCTTAAATAAATAATGAAGGTAAGAAAAAATCAAATGTATAATTACACAAAAATTGCTATAACTGTTGAATTATTTTTTCACTCCTCTTCCAATATTCAACGAATCCTTTACTTGTTTTAGATTATGTTTTTCACAGAACATTCACATTAATTTCACATTTCCTTTTATGTCTTATTATAATATAATTCTGGTCAACAAATTTTACATTGGCTGGTTTTATTTTAAGATACACATCGAGATATGTATAATTAATTAAATGTCGATAATTTCAATTTATTTATTTGAGAAACGATGTTCTAAAAGGATAAGAGCAAAGTCCATCATTCATCGTGGTTTTTACCTTATCGTTTTTTGTGATATCTCCCTTTATAGTATTAAAAAAAATTTTCTGGTTTTCTCTTAATATGAATCAGCACTAGCACATGTTCAATATTAGTTCGTGTATAATTAACACTACTACGAAAAAAGAGCAAAAAAGGCGCGCACAAACACGAACGACATATAGCAAGAACTGAACTGTGTCATTTTCTCCGTTACTGCTGAACATATTTCCGGGGAGTTGGTATCAATTTATTTACGCTTGTGCTAACTAGTGCTTAGGCACGTGTAGTGCGGGAGTAATGTACGACTAGTCTTGTAAATGGATTTGTGTCTTTTGCTATATCAGCCCCTTAGTGATCTCTTCGTGGAATATAGAATTATCTTTGATAGTGGTTTTCCACGGTTTTCATTAAAAATCAAATCTTTTCGAATGGAGAAATAAATAAATTTGTTGATTTGATGATTTGTTGATTTGATTTCAGAATTGACATATTGGAACCATCTCAACACAAAATATTTACATCATAGCGGTTACGAAACGCTCAAAATCCGGTGGACCACGCAAAAGTTGTTCAAACAAACCTACCTCAATGGTAAGTTATATGGAACGCTATTGTTTTCCAGTTTTGTGAGTGAGACTATGATAATGAGAAGAACAAACAAAGAACAACAAAAAACGCAAGGAAAAAATTACTAATACTGGACATCACAAAGTTATTTAGTAATCTTTTGTATTTGGATTTATATCAGCACAAATCTGCACACGTATGTACATACACATATATGTACACACACATACATACATGTGCTGTGTTCACTCCTCGCAGTTCACCGGCAATCCAACTTTTGTAATTTACAATTTACAAGCAGGTATGGAGAATCACCCACCTCGGTCGCATCCAGCCACTGAGGTTGGGCTCTGGGTGCGTCAACATTTAGGTCATTTTAGCAACTAACGCAAGCAGTTCCTAAATCCAAACCCATTCACACTCTCACACATTATTTAATACATTTTTTCTCTGTGGCGTCGAGATTTGCTCATTAGCCATGTACATCTCCCACTCTCTCTCTCTCTCTCTCTCTCTCTCTCTCTCTCTCTCTCTCTCTCTCTCATTCCTAACTATTCTTTCTTATTACTCAGTTAGGGTGGTGGAGTAGTTGATATTCCTTCATCAACCTTCAAACCTTATAACTAACCTAATGTAGGGTCGATAGGGTTTTCAGTGTTCGTCAGTCCTCTCGCACTACACATAAATACATTCTCTCTCAACAAACGCTAGATACACGAAACTACCAGTACTATACACAATAATACAACACTGTTTCCTTCAAAATGTGGGACTGGGAACTCAGATACTCGCTTCGGCGCTCAAGCACGTTTCTCAAATCGGGTAGCATTCCAATACCCACCTTTACATAGACCCAAGGAGTTACTCCCTTCAATTAGGTTGGTCACATGGAGCAACCTTTCTCTACACATACACACAGACGGGGGCTTTGGCCCAAAAGTAAGTGTCCGTGTGTCAACCTTCATGGCCTATCCTTAATCGGGTGAGGATGACCCTTCTTCTACGAGTCAGGATCTCCGCGGGCCACCTATAAACATGCTTTAGATATGTGAGAGCTTCTCTTCTGATTCGGCCCACCGACGCTGATTGTTTCTTATAATCATGTTTTTTAATCTTTTAATAAATTTATTTATTTTATTGTACCATAAAACAGTACTGTAGTTACTTGTTCTTTTGATAAAAAAGTGATAAAAAATATATTTGATGCGAACAGTATTTATAAAAAGAAAACACACAAAAAAGAAAATTGAACGATTTTAGCGTTGAAAGAAAAAAGAAAGAAAATTGAATTTGATTTTTGTCGTAAAGAAATGATCCCTGTCGGACTTTTTGAATAGGACAAGTGAACGAGGGGTCAGCTTATAATTATAGTTAAAAGGGGGATATTGTGCAGAAAAAAATTTGATTGAAAACATTTTTTTGAAAAAAAGCTGTTTCTACGAAATATGGTAGATGCTCCTCGGTATGTTCGCATTAACAACATACCCAGAGATCTGAAGATACCGCACCTCGACTCTGAGATCAAAGCCGCCCGAACACCAAGGCCAGCCGCCTGCTACAGTCTCATTTGACCTACCTACTAATTTTTTTGTTTAACGAGATTTGTAAGTATGTCGTGTTCGAATCCAGCGGCCCTGCGTTCGAACCCGGGACCTTTATGTTACAGTAATCATCCCAAACCATCGACGCCCCATCGATCTTTATACATCTGCTTTGACTGCCATTTCGACTCAGTCAATATAGGACTTAGATATAGGAAAAATATCTAATAAAGTTTAGGATTTAGCGTGAACAGAATTTAAAAAAAGAGAGATTGGGGTTTACAGAGAGTAAAAAGAGAAGAAAAGGAAAATTCATCCAGACAGCCATGTTGGAAAGTAAAACGTAATCAAGGGTAGTTTATTGTTAAAACGTTTTGCTGTGAAAAATGAAAATATTTATTGCAAATAATATTTTTACATAGGAACTAAAAAACAATTAAGTTCGTATAAAAATTTAATCTGCGACGACCATTTGAAAATGACGAAATAGTCATTGAAGAGAAAAATAATGGTGTTGAGGAGTTATAAAATTAAGAATTAATTTTATAACTAAAAATAGGATTTAAATATAAAGAAAACATATTATTACCTGTGAATCCCTGAAAAGAAATGAACCCTAACAACTAATTCTAAAAAACAAAATAGTCAATAAGGGTGGCTTATTGTTAAATGGCGTTACTTAGACAAAAAATTATGATGAAGCAACGTTAGCATGGACACAGCAATGTCTAACAAAGGAAAAAAATTGATTGTTGTGGTATTTGTTAAAAAAAAAAAAAAATAAGGGTGGCTTA